TTATATGGCAAATCCCCCAGTGAGGATCTTTTCATTATTTTGCAATCTGAGGGAAGGAAGGCAGACTTTCTCACCTTTCTACCCTCATTCTTTCAAAATACCTCGTGTTAGTCAAAAGCAACCTCACCATTTCACCATTCCAGCCTCCTCTACATTCACACCTATTCAATATTTGTTATTAAATTTCATTAGGTTCAGGGACAACCCCTACTAACCCTTCAAAGCTGGTCTGGGATGCTTCCAGGGATCCCTAAATACTTCTTCTTTTAAAAATAAATAAATACAAAAGCTTCCAGCCTCCTGTTCAAAGAGAAATATTCAGCCTGGACTGAATGGACTGTTGCACAAACCCTTCACCTCCCCTCCCTGCTCAGGCAGGGCAATATTGCTAAAAGAGACAAGAAACTGTAACACCCCAGCAAGTGACTCTAATTTCCAGAAAAAAAATGCAAAACCTGACAAGTCCTGAGAAATTCCAAGCTGACTGTCAGGGCATCTTGTCCTGGGGCTCGATTTCTTGCTCTGCTCTCACCATTTTCTCCCTGATTATCCCAGGCAAGCTCCTCTCTAGAGGATGCAGCGTGTGGAGCATTGCTTGCCCATCTAAAGCAGATAATAAATGTTTCTTCACCAAAAATATGGTCCAGTTTTTATTTTTTTTTAACCAAACTTTGCTTGGTTTAAGTCAAGAAACCTTTTCATTTTCTTGAACCACTGATTTAGAGGCTCCCTCAGAGTGTGGCAATGTTTATGGCTGAGGTGGGTATCTCCACGCAGGGCATGGCCAGCTGCAGGATTCCTGGGCTGCTGGAATTTGAGTTTTCATCCACTGCTGCTGTCATCTCGGAGAAGAGTAATCATCCAGAAGGTGAGATAAGAAGAGGAGTTTGGTGTTAAAAGCCAGTATTTGAGTGAAAATAGAATAAAGGTTTCTTTTTGCTTTCATTTCATGGTGAACATGGATAACTTGGAGATCTCAGTTTTCAAAGCCATTTCAGTTTCTCTTCTGGAGAACGGGAATTACTGTACTTTCCCAACAATATTTACAAGACTCAAATATCCTCAGCTGGAAAGAGAATTGAAGGAATTAACATGGAATTAAAGGTGTGTAAACAAACATGAGCAAACCCTGCAATAACAAGCAGAGCTTGCGAGTTGCAATCCATTTGCCTTCCCCACATTGTGAAATACCTTCCTGTGACACTCTCCCTGTTAATCTCCTCCTGTGGCACTTCAACACGTTGTATTAATTTAGAAAATTCAGAGATTTCACAAAAATTTTAAGGCCAAATTAGCAAAAATCTTTTCCCAAGCAGGAGAAAGAGCAGAGGCCAGGAGACAGGAATTGTGCAATATGTCACAGAGCAAACCTCCAGGAGTTACAGGCATTAAGAGTGAAAATCCACTCCCAACATAAAGCTGTTCCCCACTGAGGAGTTATTTTGGTGATATTTGATGTATTTGAAGTGAACTACATGAAAAACACTCAGGTCACTTTCCATGAGCTCCAAGGTTTTGATCTGGAAGTTCAGAAGTTGTTTTTAATGAGCTTCCCAAGCACACCTCAGTCCCTTAAATCCAGGGCAGGAGCTCTGAGTTTGATGGGATTTCCAATGTTTATTCAAATATGTTACAATTATTTCCAAAAAATTAGGACCAGAAATTGAATCAGCTCAGAAGGCACCTCTAAAATTTGGACTAATTAAATATTTAGTGGTGGAAAACTCTGAGCCAGCTGTGTGTACCTGCACAGCAGATCTTCCACAGAAGCATCCCACTGGCACATGGTTCTTCAAGGAATATTCTCTCCTGACATCCAAGAGAGCAGAAATCAAACCAAGAGCAAAAGAGAAGCACAGAAAAATCAGCTCTTCAGTTTTGATCTTCTGCTATTTCCTGGTCTTTGACCCAAAAATCCTCCTTGCCATAGTGGAGAAGTGAAGAGAGTTTTTAATTTTCCACTCCCAGCTGCCTTTTGCTGTTATATTGGAAAATATTGGGAAGTCTTGTGGATGGACACCTGTGGGATGGTGGTGACACCTTCACAGTTCAGGTGCCTCAGTGGGGGAAAACACCAAAAATTCAGCTCAGAAACACTTTTCCAGCTTTTGTCTTGGAACTGATGCCTTGTGCAGGCTGCCCTAGAGCAGAGGCTGGACAGAGCTACAGAATAAAGAAGGGATTGATTAAAAGGATCTCCTCCATGGATCCACCTTGGGCAGCACAAGCGCCCAGCCAGGGCTGCACCCAAGATGAACCCAAATGGTCCCAAAATGAACCCAAGATGAACCCAAATGGTCCCAAAATGAACCCAAGATGAACCCAAATGGGCCCAAAATGAACCCAAGATGACCCCAAATGGTCCCACAATGAACCCAAGATGAACCCAAATGGTCCCAAAATGCACGATGGTCACGGGGTCTCTCCCTGGGATCAGCTCTGCTCCATGTGCACATTGCAGTTCAGTGTCCAATTCCAGCTCAGCCCCTGCACTCCCATCCTGCTTGTTTTTCTCTCTCCAGCCCACGGGGTTTGTGCTCCTGGGCTGAGATTTGGATCATTTGTCCTTGGTGCCCAGCTGGAGCAGGAATTGTTTTGTCTCCCTGCTCTGTGCACAGAGCTCACCATCCCATAATATGAACCCAGACCCACACACTAAAGCAGCACAGAACCTGAAAAATAGAAAAGCCAAAACCTGAGACATAACCCTTGATAGGTTAACTGAAAATTAAAGCTTGGGTTTGAGATCTCTTAAAAAGGAGGGAAGAAGGGGAGGCTGCAAGCACCCTTGGACTTGCACTTGAGCAGGAACTGAGGAATCACTTTCTGTCCCAGCTCCCAGCACACCAACTTCCCTGCCAGGGACTTACAGCCACAGGAGTGAAACACAAGCCTTTCCATTCTGTCATTCAAAAAGAGCCTCAGAGAGAGAGGATTTCACATTAACAGGGTGGTTTCCTCCCCGTAGCTGTGAAGAACATGGAAAAATTGACCTGTGCCCAGTTTAGTCTTGACTTGCCTGTTCCAGACTCTTCAAAGACATGGTTTCACAGGCACGAAGCTGTGACCCTTCAAATGAGTTCATTCTCATTCTTTAAATAGGCAGAGTGCACAAATTGTCTCTTCTTGTCTGGTTTCTCAGAACTCATCACTGAATGGAGCCTGATCTGCCTACAAGGACAGGGAGATATGTTTCAGTAGCACTGCTTCAAAGCAAACAAATCACAGAATGGGATTGTGGTGTCCCCCCACAAAAAATACAAACCTTTGAACCAACTTTAACTTTAAAGCCTGACTGGGAAGTGCTCTGACCCTGTGGCCCACAAAGGATGATCCCATTGCAGGAAATCACCTGGGAAGGATGTACAGAACTCCCAGAAAAATTCTGCAATGTATTTTCTTTTCTGTGGTACATTTTCTCTCTGCTGATCACTGCTGCCTTGGTCTTTGCATTGTTATTAATTTGACTTTGAGATGTGTGCCTTTTTGTGTCAAATCCATCTTCTGATCATGCTCTGTCCAACACACCCAGAGTGTCTGCACACTCTGCTTCTGCCACCCCCTCACATGAAGGGGATTAGAGCCAAGTTACAAAAGGTACTTGGGAAAGAAGGGAAAAGGTAGTGTGGGGTGCAAGAAAATCAAATCCCCATTGTAGCCAAGCTGTCTTTCCTGGAAATCCTCTGGATTACAGGTAGCTCTGTCTTGCAGCAGGATCCAACTTTTCTCTTCTCTTCTCTTCTCTTCTCTTCTCTTCTCTTCTCTTCTCTTCTCTTCTCTTCTCTTCTCTTCTCTTCTCTTCTCTTCTCTTCTCTTCTCTTCTCTCCCTCCTTTACCTGTTCTTCCTCCTCTCAGCCAACTTTTCAAGCTTTTCAATGCAGTTTCTGATTAAAAGACTGGGTGGGATTCACTCATTTTTGTCAGGATTTAATGGCTAACAACACTCACAGTGAAGGGAATTTTGCCTTCCCCGGTGATGCCCACATGATCTTTTCTGGTTACTCAACCAGAGAGGGTAAGGGCAGTTCACACCCCACAACTTCTTGTTCCTCAGCTCCCTGCACTTTCTTATTCCGTCTTTTTAAAGTGCAAATGCTCCGGGAAAACTGAACTACTCTGCGCTCCGCAGGACGAACACCACAGCCCTCCGTGCTCACGCGGGTGCTCGGACTCTAAAACACGCATTAAAAAAAAGAAACAAAAGAAAGAAAAAAAAAGAACGAGAGAGCTACGAGACCGCTCGCACGAACGAAAGGCAAGGAGCGGAGCGGCTGCCCGCGGCGTGGCCACTGCTGCGTCCCCGGGGACCGATTCCCGCATCCCCGGATCCCCGCGGGTCCGATCCGCTCATTCCCAGACTCCAATGGGTCCGACCCACTCATCCCCGCATCCCGGCGGGTCCCACCCGCTCATTCCCAGACCCCAATGGCTCCGATCCGCCCATCCCCGGATCCCCGCGGGTCCGATCCGCTCATTCCCAGACCCCAATGGCTCCGATCCGCCCATCCCCGGATCCCCGCGGGTCCCACCCGCTCATTCCCAGACCCCAGTGGGTCCCACCCGCTCATCCCCGGATCCCAATGGGTCCCACCCGCTCATCCCCGGATCCCAATGGCTCCGATCCGCCCATCCCTGGATCCCAATGGGTCCGATCCGCTCATTCCCAGACCCCAGTGGGTCCCACCCGCTCATTCCCGGATCCCGGCGGGTCCCACCCGCTCATCCCCGGATCCCAGCGGGTCCCATCCACTCATCCCCGCGCTCCCAGCGGGTCCCACCCGCTCATCCCCGGATCCCAGCAGGCGGAGGCGCTGGCACGGTGCCTTCCCTGCCCCGCCTGAACCCTTTCATGACCCGCCTGCCCCGCGGGCTCGGCGGGCAGGGCCGGGGCAGCCGCCCCACCTCACCCCACCCAGGGCTCCCATTGGCGCGGATGAAAGTCCAGCACCTCGGGCTGCTATAAATGCACCTATTTGCGCCCGGGGGCCGGCACCGCGGCCATGGCAGGCTGCAGCATCCTCCTCCTCCTCCTCCGCCGGCGGCTCCCCGCCCGCACCTGCGGCCGCGCCGCGTCCTCGCTGAGCGCTCTGCGGCCGGCGGAGACGCTGCCCGGGCCGCCCAGCTGGCCGCTGATGGGCAGCCTGCCCGACGTGCTCTGGAAGGGGGGGCTCAAGAGGCAGCACGAGACCCTGGTGAGGCGGCGGGGATGGGATGAGGATGAGGATGGTGATGGGGATGGGATGAGGATGCCGCGCCGGGGAGCGCCCCGCACTCACGGCGCGTTTTTCGCTGCTCCCCAGGCTCAGTACCACCGCAGGTTCGGGAAGATTTTCCGCATGAAGCTGGGCGCCTTCGACTCGGTGCACATCGCGGCGCCCTGCCTGCTGGAGGCTCTGTACCGCCGCGAGAGCGCCTGCCCGCAGCGCCTCGAGATCAAGCCCTGGAAAGCCTATCGCGACTATCGCGACGAGGCCTACGGGCTGCTCATCCTGTGAGTGGGACACGCAGCATCCCGGGGGTGCCCGGGGGATGCTGCGGGGCTGCCGGTGCCCCGGGCGATGCTGCGGGGCTGCCGGTGCCCGGGGGATGCTGTGGAGCGCGGCCGCCCCCAGCGCGGCTCCGCGGGGACCGGGGGTCCCGGGCTGCCCCCCGAGCGTGGCTGGGGCTCGTCCTCGCCCCCGGGGATCCCCCGGCTGTGCCGCCGGTGCCCCCGGAGATCCCCCTGTTGAGCCTCCGGTGCGGTGGAGCATCAGTAGTGCGAGTTTGGGGTTTTTTTTCTGTTTTCATTCTTCTTTTCGCTCTCCAACCTCGCTGTCGTTGTTTCAATCAGGGAGGGGAAGGACTGGCAGAGGGTAAGAAGTGCCTTTCAGAAGAAATTGATGAAGCCCCGGGAAGTTGTGAAACTGGACACGACCATCAATGAGGTACCCTGCTCCGAGAAATCCTTCCTCTCTCTGCTCCCCTGCAAGCCTGGGGAGTTAAAGCAGATCCGGTTTATCTGGACAGCTTTATTTACTCCACAGTGATAAACCACGAGCTCAGACCCAGAACATTCAGGGAATAACAAGTACAAACTGATTGCCATGGTCTGAGACCGTCTCCACAGTAAAACAGGATTATTCCATAAGGATAGAGGCTCCTGTAAAGAGCTTTTCCCTGCTTTTCCTGCACGCAGTAATTTTTGCCTTTACCCCTTCATTCTTCTGCTCCTCCCCTCAGGGAACACCTCTGTCCTTAACCTCTGTGCTCCTGAGGGAGGCTGAGGAGCATCTGTGATAAACACCTTAATCCCCAGTTGTGAAACCCCGGAGTGAGGGATTGCATCCCTGCGAGGGCAGCACAGTTCATCGAGGGCAGCACAGTTCATCGAGAGCTGTGTCAAATCCAAACACTTGTTCACACTGGGGGAAGTTGAATCTTGTTCAAAGAACAGGGAACAAAAGGATTCCTCTCACGCAAGATTGTTATCTGCTTAAAAGGCAGTTGAAATGCTGAATTACACCGGATTTTTATTAGTTGATGTCATTTTCTTCCCTTCTTTTCTCACTCTTCTCTCCACCATTTAGGTCCTGGAGGACTTTATGCACAGAATAGATGAAATTTGTGACCACAATGGCCAGATGGAAGATGTCTATTCAGAGTTCAACAAATGGTCTTTTGAAAGTGAGTTGGGTTTTGCCTGAGCGTGGTGCACCTGCCAGGGCATTGCAGTTAAAATATGATCAGCACAAAATATGTGCTCATTATTTCCAAACTCTCAGCTATAATATCATGGAGAGAGTTGCAGAACAGCCAGGGACTGTCAGTGCAAAATTCAGCAGCACAAATATGAATTTCTGCCTAGCTCCCTGCATGGCTTATAAAAAATTCAAACATTCCAACGATTTATAAATAAAAAAAATGGGGGGTTATGGTTCATTCATCTAGAGTGGGATCAGATAACACACAGCCTTTTTTGTCCATCTGATATTTGTTAGCTATCAGCAGGATCAATGAAATATTCCAATAACAGCGTGTTGGCAAAGCCTGGAAAATCCCATTTTCAGTGTTTACACTGGGATTGAGAAGGGCTGGAATGAGTTACCAAGACAGAGCCTCATCCTTAGGAACCTTTCAGAGCTCACTGAGGAATGTGCCAGGAATGCCACAGGGCAGAAAGTGGCTCAGTGACTCCCAAAAAAAGGGATGGTTGAGTGCAGTGACTGATGCAGCCCTGCCAGACCCAGCTGCCCTTGGCTGGCTCCTCTCAGCAGCCTCTGGGCTGAGCTCCTCAAAGTGGTTTTTTTTGGTTTTTTTTTCCACTGTCAGTGGTGATGGCTCCTTTTGGAAAGGGAGAAATAGGAAGTGACAGTTTGAAAAGAAAGAGGGGAAAAGCAGACAAGTGGAAAAGGTGGAAAGTGGTGGAGTGTGGGATGCTGCCGCGCTTGCGCTGGTTCAGGCTGTGGGAAGGAGTGGGGAATGCTGTGGGAGGTGGCTCCTCATTCTCCTGCCGCTCCGTTTTCTTCAGTAAAATCACCAAACATGAGCCAAATATGCAGTTCTGCTGCTGGTGAGGGGATCAGTGGCACTCCTAATTTGTGCAGGAACGTTGCTGTAAGAGCCCCAAAGCTGGACACCCTCGCTGGGGTCGGGGCAAACAAGCAGGAGGTGTTTTAGCAGTGCTGCTCTGCCAGGTCTGCATCAAGGAACACTTTCAGAAGGCTCACCCAAGCCATTCCTTGGTGATAAATGATGCATCCCACACGGCCTTTTGTTTATAAATTTAATTATAATATTGCCTAACAACAGGTATCTGCCTGGTGCTGTATGGGAAGAGGTTTGGCCTCCTGCAGCAGGACGTAGAAGAAGAAAGTCTGAACTTCATCAAGGCTGTAAAAACGGTATGGAAGGGTCTCTCCTGGGGCTGTGGTGATTTTTTTACCCCTGCTGTTAATGAGAGGCAGCAATTTAAAGGAGTCAGCTGGAAAAAGCAGCTCAGGCTTCTGTACCCAACAGGTGCCCAGCCAATCCTGAACTTCTGCCTCCTTTATGCAATGCCTCAGTGTGTTGTAATAAGACAGGACTCAGTTTCTCCATGCAGGAAAAGCCCCTTTTAATTCACATTTTTATACAGTTTTCACAGACCTTGTGTACAACTTTAATTGGTTAGGAGCTTTCTTGCCAATCACTCTGTTGGTTAGTAAAAGGTATTTCACTTGTCCATCAGATCTCTCTTGAATTGTTCACATATTTTCTTCACTGATTCTCATGAAACAGATCCCTGGTTATTACAGGTGCACTTATTTTTCTCTCCAGGAATAATTAATTGTTGTGTTAATGAACTCTCCTTTCTCAAGCTGTTCTCACACAGGGACTTGCAACCTATTGTTAGCTTAGCTGAGGTAGCTAAGATAATCCATGTTTTATAAGATTTTTTTACAACACCTTCTACCTGCCTGCACCATCAGTGTGACAGGGGAAGTGCTGAGTGGCCCTGAGGGCAGCTGGAAGGAGAATTGTCAGCTTGGCTGGTGACTCTGCTCCTCTGTGCTGCACCTGCAGGGTGGCACTGTGGGGTTCTGCACATCCCTGGCTTTGGGGTCAGAGCTGCTTTGGGTTCTGGGGTCCAAACCTGCCTCATTCAGCCACGGGGTCAGAGCTGCTTTGGGGTCCAAACCTGCCTCATTCAGTCACGGGGTCAGAGCTGCTTTGGGTTCTGGGTCCAAACCTGCCTTAATCAGTGATGGGGTCAGAGCTGCTTTGGGTTCTGGGTCCAAACCTGCCTCATTCAGCCATGGGGTCAGAGCTGCTCTGGGGTCCAAACCTGCCTCATTCAGTCATCACACACAGGCAGCCAGCCCTGCCTTGGTTTTTAGCCCATCTGTTATCAAGGGAGAGGGAGGCACTGCCAAAAAATGCCTTGTCCCACTCCCAACAGGTGCCTAAAATCCACAGGATGCATTCCTTACTGAGAACACTCCTGGCTGCCTCTAATTTTTACCTGGATCTGCCCTGAGTAGACTGAGACCCATCCTCTCTGTCCAGGATGGAAATTCCACCAGAATTTTGCCTTCCTGAAAATCTCCCTCTACTTCCCAGCCTGGTGTTGCTCAGGGACTGCAAGGAGAAGGATGAAAAGAGATTAAAGAGAGGTTTTCCCCCACAGATGATGGCCACTTTCGGGATGATGATGGTGACCCCTGTGGAGCTGCACAAGGGGCTCAACACCAAAGTCTGGCAAGCTCACACCAAAGCATGGGATGATATATTTAAAACAGGTCATTATTTAACCCCTAATTATCTCCTTTCTCTTTATCTCTGTCTTCTCCTTGCTGGAATTGATTTTTTTCCATACTTGCTGCTGTTAATCCCTGCCCTCAGCATGGATTAAACCACATTTGCTGTACCAAAACAGGGATTTATTCCCATGTGGGAGCAGTTTTTAGTGGCTAACACCCAGGCTGTGGGGCAATATCCAATTCCCAGGGGAATGCCAGGATTCTGGGAGCCAGCAGTGCCATGGCACCACTTTAATCTGTCCTAAAAGGAAATTAAAAATGGATAATCTCTTTAAAGGCAAGGTTATAAATGAAAAGGGACTTTCCTCAAGGACTCATTTTCTTGAGAAACAAGAATTGTGCATGCAGCAAAAACCTGTTTGCTAAAAAAAAGACATTACATCTTTTCTGAACAACCTGTAACATAGTTGTAAATCTTAAACCCAGAAGTAATTTAAATAATAAGGTGCAGTTTGGCTTTTTGACAACATTTCTGACTACTTAAAATGAGTTGGCCTTCCAAGTTTAAAAATTACTCAAACTCCAGATGTGAAGTTGAGTTTGTATTTTTAATACTTTAAATTTTCATTGATTTAAACAGTGAGAGGCATAACTAAAGGCTGAGAGAGCTTTTGGAGGGTTGTAACACTGAGATATTTCCCTTGGGTATTTGAGTCCCAAGGCTTTTTATCCTGCCAGCCCTCACTCACTCATTTTATTGCTTCTTGGTTTATGGGCTTTAGAAAAGACACTTTAAACAAGTTTTGCTCAGAAAAACCAGTTTGACACCTTCACTTAAAATGAATAATTCCTTACAGGAACTGGTTTTAACACCTGGGATACTCACGAGCAAAACCTGTTTCTTTTTATTTAAAAAAAACCCCAGCATGTCAAAATTTGGCATCTCGTTGTGCCTTCCCCTGGTAAATCCAAGGTTTACATTTCCCCTCGGGGGTGCTGGGTGCTAAATCCCTTTGATTTTTTAACACCTTGATCCCCTTTGAAAGCCCCAGGTAATAAATTTTACACACTTGTGTTTCTGTTTGCCGAATATTTCCCCCAACGTGTCACTGATTTCCTCCCCTAATTTAAGAGAATAGAATTCCTAAGAGCTCCTCCTCTTGAAAAGTGATTTTTGGGACTGAGTTTCTTTGAAAAGTGACAGCGCCATCCTTTATTCACCATAAATACCCTCATTATTTACCCACTGCTTGCCAACAGAGCACAGCTTGGCCCTTCTTTAAAACCCCGTGTGAGAAATGTGGCTTTGCTGCTGTTTCTATGGGGTTTTGAGTGATTTTCCATCATTCCTGCCCTCCTCAGCCAAGCACTCCATCGACAGCCGGCTGCAGAAGCACTGTGCCAGCCCCCAGGGGGATTTTCTGTGTGACATCTACTCGGGGGGACAGCTGTCCAGGAAGGAGCTGTACGCTGCCATCGCGGAGCTGCAGATCGCCGGCGTGGAGACGGTAACCGTGTGCCAGGGTTTAAACCCCCCGGTCCCTCTTGGGGTTCACATCCCCCCCAAATTCCCTCCTTGGGGTTTACATCCCCCCCCAGTTCCCTCCTTGGGGTTCAGATCACCCCAACTCCCTCCTTAGCTGCAGATCGCCGGCATGGAGATGGTAACTGATGTGACAAGGGTTCACATCCCCCCCAAATTCCCTCCTTGGGGTTCACATCCCCCCCAAATTCCCTCCTTGGGGTTCACATCCCCCCCAAATTCCCTCCTTGGGGTTTAAATTCCCCCAGTTCCCTCCTTAGCTGCAGATCACCGGCGTGGAGACTGTAACCCATGTGCCAAGGGTTTAAACCCCCCGGTCACTCCTTGGGGTTTAAATCCCCCCCAGTTCCCTCCTTGGCGTTCAGATCACCAGTGTGGAGATGGTAACTGATGTGCCAAGGGTTCACATCCCCCCCAGTTCCCTCCTTGGGGTTCACATCCCCCCAGTTCCCTCCTTAGGGTTTAAATTCCTTCCAATTCCCTCCTTAGCTGCAGATCATCAGCAGGAAGATGTAACCCGTGTGCCAAGGGTTTAAATCCCCCCCAATTCCATCCTTGGGGCTTAAATCCCCCCCAAATTCCCTCCTTGGGGTTCACATCCCCCTCAGTTCCCTCCTTGGGGTTCACATCACCCCAGTTCCCTCCTTGGGGTTCACATCCCCCCCAGTTCCCTCCTTGGGGTTCTCATCCCCCCAGTTCCCTCCTTGGAGTTCAGATCCCCCCAGTTCCCTCCTTGGGGTTCAGATCACCCCAGTTCCCTTCTTGGGGTTCAGATCACCCCAATTCCCTCCTTGGGGTTTAAATTCCTTCCAATTTCCTCCTTAAGGTTTAAATTCCCTCCAATTCCCTCCTTAGCTGCAGATCATTGAGGTGGAGATGGTAACTGGTGTGCCAAGGGTTTAAATCCCCCCAGTTCCCTCCTTGGGGTTCAGACCCCCCAATTCCCTCCTTGGGGTTTAAATTCCCCCAATTGCCTCCTTAGCTGCAGATCATTGAGGTGGAGACAGTAACTGGTGTGCCAAGGGTTTAATTTCCCCCAGTTCCCTCCTTAGCTGCAGATCACTGAGGTAGAGACAATAAAGCTGATTTTCCAAGGGTTTCAAATCATCCCAGTTCCCCCCTTCCTTCCACAACCTGACCACCAGCACACCTGGAAGTGAGTTAATCCTGAAGTGGCTTCAGTGGCCCAAGTGCAAATGGAATTTTGCCTGAAATCCCCAGATTTTAACACTAAATCCCCGGATTTTTGCCTGAAATCCCCAGATTTTTAATTCTGCAGGACAGTTGGGACTGCTTATAACCCTTCAGGCTGTCAAAATTCCATAAAGCTGTGCCCAGCCAGAAACGTTGCTTTGAATTTTGGACAAATTCTTCCTTCTGTGCCTACAAAAGGAGGGCTTCACCTTTCTTTTTGCTTTGTTCCAGACAGCCAACAGTTTGCTGTGGGCTCTGTACAACCTCTCCCGCAATCCACACGTCCAGCAGAAGCTTTTCCAGGAAATCCAGAGAGTTTTGGCTGCTCAGAAGAGCCCGAGTGCTGAGAGCCTGAGGAGCATGCCCTACCTAAAAGCCTGTCTGAAAGAATCCATGAGGTAAAATCCCCAAATCCTTCAAAACAATCACCAAGTGTTTCACCAGCTCCTTCGCACAAGGGAGAGAGAATTTTCCAGCGCACAGAATTTTGTGCATCTTGCTGTTGGAGGGAGAATAGAGAGATAAAAGAAGGGAAATTGCTGGGAATTTAACCCACTGTTCTCTTTCCCTGCAGATTAACCCCATCAGTGCCTTTCACCACCCGCACCATCGACACAGAAATGGTGCTGGGAAATTACATGCTGCCCAAAGGGGTAAGGCAATTAATTCTGTTTATTGGGATGGTTTTTAATTTATTAATTGCCCTTCAAACCACAGAAGTTGCTCGTATTTCCGTTTCAAACTGGCTTTGCCAAAGTCCCAGCCCCAGGACAAGGAATGAGGGATTCACCCCAAGGATTCCCATAAACACAACCCACACTGCCTGCACTGCACTTGGACTTAAGCAGAAATATTTGCCTGAAATAATTTTGATGAGCTATTCCAGCTTTTTTTTTTTTCAAATTTTCCCATGATTCTCTGAGGAAACCACGACCTTTTCTACGTTCCAGTTGATTTTTTGGGAATTCCATGACCTCTCCTGAGGAAGCTGCTGTGCTGTGAAAAACACATTCACTTTCTTGTGAAAATTTAAAAAGTTTAATAAAGGACAATAGGAGACAAGGACTATAGAGTAAAGGTTGTTGTGGTTGGGTGTATCTTGGTACTTAGCTAAGAGTACACTTGTTTTTTGGAAACACTTTTTATATACTATTTCCATGACATTAGTTTGTTGCATATTCATAAACAATCATGCATAGTAAACTTCTTCTTTAAACTAGCTTACATATTTTAAGAACTGTTTGGTGTGGCTCTTGTTTGGTTTTACTTTTTCAGAGCACGAGTATTCTTTTGGTTGTGGTTTTTCAGCTATTTTTATTACTTTTATTTTATTACTTTTAGGTTTTGGGCTTTGGTCCACACAGTTTTCAGCTGTGAGAGTTGATAGTTGGTACCTTCATATGCTCATTGGATGTTATTTTATTTAAGTAGGAATTTAACACAAACACACTTAGATCAGCTATTTCACTACTATGTCCAAGCTTAATTAACAACGGAAATAAAAGCTGTATCTTTATAACAAAGCCACTTTAACCTCACACTTACAGAATCCATGTCAATATTTGCCAAAAGCCAGGATAATGATAAGTATCTGCCACGTGCCATGATTCCCCATCCCGGAGCCGCTTCCCTGGGGAGCTGGGGGTGGCTTTGTGACCTGGCTCTCTGTCCCGCCTCGCTGCAGACCGTGCTGATGATCAACAGCCACGCCCTGGGCTGCAGCGAGGACTACTTCAGGGGCTGGCCCGAGTTCAGGCCCGAGCGCTGGCTGCACAAGGGCTCCATCCATCCCTTCTCCCACGTCCCCTTCGGCGTCGGCAGGAGGATGTGCGTGGGGCGCCGCGTGGCCGAGCTGCAGCTGCACCTGGCCCTCTGCTGGGTGAGCACCCCACCAAGGGAACTGGGGGGGTCAGGGTCCCCAGGAGGAGGCGAGGGATGAGAACCTGATTTTAGCTTCTCAGGAGGCTGATATATTATATCTTCTATATTTTATATTATATATTTTATATTGTATTGTATTTTATATTATATTAAAATAATGCTAGACTAGAGCTATACTAAACTGTATAGAAAGGATACGTCAGAAGGCTTAACGAGAATGATAAAGAAAACCTGTGACTGACTCAGAGTCCGACACAGCTGGCTGTGATTGGTCATTAAGAAAAGCAATTTACATGGAACCAATCAAAGATGCACCTGTTGGTAAACAACTTCTAGACTGCATTCCAAAGCAACCAGATAATTGCTGTTTTCACTCTTTTCTGAGGCTTCTCAGCTGCCCAGGAGAAGAAATCCTGGTGAAGGGATTTTTCAGAAAATAGCACAGTGCCAGGGGGGTTTGTCCTCCAGCTGAGCAGAGGCAGAGCCCAGCACGCTGATCGTGGCTGCAGCTCGCCCCACAGAGAGCAGCAGGCACAACCTTCCCAAGGATTCTTCCTGGGGAAGGCAGGGAGACAGCTCAGAGAGAGAAGAGAAAACAATTCCTGTCTCTACTCGCTGCTCCTGTTGTTTGGCACGTGCGGAACGTGCTATGGAGATTGTTTAATGAGAGGGATTGTTAACTGGACTCTGGTGATGGTTGTTTGGATTGACTGGCCAGTTTGGATTGATTGGCCATGGACTCTGGTGATGGTTGTTTGGATTGACTGGCCAATTCAAATTGGCCAGGTTTGATTGACCAGGTCAAAGCTGTGCTGTGACTGTCCGAAAGGGTCACGGGTTTTTCTTTGGTATGATATCATATGGTTTTAGTATAGTATAGTGTAATATAGCATAGCTTAATAAAGCAACTGTTCAGCCTCCTGAGTCATGGAGTGGGAGCAGGTTATTCCCAGGCTGGGGGATGCCCTGCATCCAGAGGGGTGATTCACTGGCAGGATGTGTCCTTGCAGCTGATCCGCCGGTACCGCGTGGTGGCCACGGACCGGGCGCCGCTGGAGACGCTGCACTCGGGGATCCTCATCCCCAGCAGGGCCCTGCCCATCGCCTTCCAGCCACGAGCAGGTCTGGAACCACACACCTGTGCTCTGCTTGGGCACAAAAACACACACCTGTGCTCTGTTTGTGCACAAAACCACAAACTTGTGTTCCTGCACACCGCGGGCTCTGCTGGGAGCTGGGCTGGGATTTCTGTGCCAATGGGAGGGTAAAGCTGATGCTTCTCTGCTCTTCATTCTCACAGGGCCACAGCCCTCCTGATCTCTATTTTAACAAATTAATGCTGTCCCAGCTCAGTGTTTTATCAGGAAAGGTCCTGTCTTTCGCACGGCTCATGGCTCTGGAGTCAATTTTATATCCACATTTTCTGTGTGATGCAGCTCAAAAAGGGGGAAATCAACATATACCCACTGCTGCAGAAAAGAACAGCCAGGGTTTGTTAGAACTCCTCCACTGGAAAAAAACATTTGATCTTGAGCATCAATTTGCAGATTGAATAGAAGATGCCTTAGTGAAGGAACTGCTCACTGCAGAGTTTAGATCTATTTGTAAATAGCCATGCAGTGTTCCAACTTAAATATTTTGAATGTAAAATTTTCTCTCTCACAAGTTTACACAAACGAGCTAACAAAATAATTTACTTGTGCAACAACCTGAATTGAGAAAACAAATCTCTGATCTAGAATGAAATCCTCCAATTAGAAATCCAGGACATTTCAGTGCTGTGGAAGAGATTTTTTTGCCAGCCAACACCACAGGAAAAAAAAAAATCTCCTAATATAATCTGAATATTCACTCCTTTAACTGAAGTCTGTTCAGTGCTGTTTGCTTTGACATAATCACTACAATAAAGATTCTTTTTTTGCTCAATACAGGTTGCAAAAAATAAAGGACAGCCCTGCTGCTGCTGCCTCCTCTTGAAAGAGAGACATCAGCTGTGGGAGTCAAAGCTCCAGGGAAGAACTGCACCACATCCCTTGAGCAACTGCTGGGCCAGGAACAGCACCAGCAAAAGCTCCCAGACTCTTTTATTGAGAAAAATGTGCTTAAAAGGAGAGGAAAATACCAAGTGCTTTCCTAGAGCTGTGGAAATCCAGGGATTTAGTGCAGCTGAGGGACTGTGCAGGACGAGGAGCCCTGGGGGGTGTTGAGCAGCCCAGTTTGGGGAGAGCTGCCTCCAGTTTGGGACCAGTCAGGGCTGGGGTGGCCCTGGGAGCTCAGAGGGGGAGAGGAAACTGCCTCAGTCCTTCTCAAATTACCAGAGGAGGGAGTTGGGAGTCTGGAAAAAGGCTAAAACAGGGCTGGGAAATTGGGATCATGAAAGAAATCGATTTCCTTGGCGTTCTTCACTGCCTGGGTAGGAGGGGAACAGGCACAAATGCACCTGGCAGGATTTATGGCTTGCTTTGAGCAGTTGCAAGCCCGTGCCTGACACAGCCTCTGCTCTTCCCCATGGATTTCCATCCCTCAGCTCCTGCACTACCCATTTTATCCCACTTTTATTGTAAAAGCTTCGTGGTCTTTCATTGCATGAGAAGAAATGGAACCACTGGAATCCTATGGGTTCTGCCTCTGCAGGATGATGATGATCCTAACAGGATACTTACATGAGATGAACACAAAATTATGCTTCCAAGAACAATTCCACAGGAAACAAGGACCCTAAACATTTCCAGGGGGTTTATTTCTTGTGGATACTGCAATATCTAAAGGTTCAAACTGTCACTGCCCTCCATGCAATACTGGATTTTGGCTGTTATGGTCGCTGGTTTTACACTTTTGCAGTTTCAAGCACAGCTTTATCTCTATATATAACCCTGAATTTATTTTTTCACAGGCTGAAATGATGCAAGTTCTTGGTACTTGTTGGTCTGTCTCTTGTTTTTCATTTGTTTGTTCTCCTCTGTTATGCTCAGACATGTAAATATACCCCCATAACAATGTATAAAACAATTTGTGCATTATCTGACTATTTCAAGGCAGTTTTGTAAGAAAATAAAGAGTTCTATTTTTTCTCTAGAATTAGTCTTCCATTATTTATTTTAAAGTCTGCAGCTTTGCAAAAGAGGCTTCTGCACCCTTGGCACAACCTGAACCTGGCATGGAGGTCCCAGGGAGGGGATTGGGACATTTCTCTGCCAGGAGGACAAGATAAAATCCATAGAAAGGTCTGAGGAAAGATGAAAATAGCTGGAATTTTTGCAGAATCAGTGGAAATCATGCATATTTTAAAAATACCATTCCTCAGCACCATTCCTGGCAGGGTGAGGGTGACAGTGGGTGCAAAGAGGATGGGAAATCAATCCCCAGGGAGTTTGTGCTGGGGTGCAGGTCCATGTGGAGCACCTACCCAAAATCCTGGGACAAAAACCCCCACAAAGCCTCTTTTTACATCATCATAAATTAATATTACCGCATTAGAGCCAAGGGAGCCGTGCCAGTATGGAAGAAGTGCTAAGAGACACAGTTTGCTCGATTCCAGGCATCTCCCGCTGCTCACAGAGTTCTGATGATTTAACTCAGAGATAAGTGCTGTTATCTCGCTGAACTGACCTTGGCAGCCTCCTTAGCAGCTGTTTCGAAACCCTGATTGCTCCCGGGCAGGAAATCACAGGTGGATATTTACTGAACTGCTGGGGATTTTCGCTATTTAAATGCAGTGGACCCAAAGGATCCAGGCGGGTGTTGCTGTCAGGGAGGTTTGGATGGATTCTGTACAAACTCAGGTACAAATCTGAACAAGCTCAGGTACAAATCCGTGCTCTGTGCCGGGTGACCAGCACCCACTGACCTGGAAAATGCAGTTCCGGAATCTTTGGGGTTTTTCAGGTGCCTGAAGTTTGCAGAGAACTTCATTAAACTCCCACCTCCGAGTAAATGTCCAAAGCATTTTACTTAGGAAATGGGTAATTATCAAACTGCACAGATAATGAATGACCAAGCCAGGCTTCCACTCCAGAGAACAGAGCTTTCCTTCCCCTCTGTTTCCGGAGCAGGACCCCAGCAGATTAATAAATAAATATCTGGGAAGCCTTTAGGCCAGCAGGATGGATCAGAGCAGTCCTGTGCTGCTTGGGAACGAGGCCCTCATTCAGAATTTCCATTTCAACACCACCTCCCTGGGACCATTTCCTGCAGTCTCTCCTGGGAGGAAGGCAGCAGGATCATAACTTTAATGGAATTAACTCACCTCCACATTCCCTGTCCCTACAGGGAAGGGAGTGAGGTTTACCTGTCCAAAAGGAAGTGAATTCTGTTCAGGCTTTGGGCGTGTTGGAGTTGAAAAGGCAGAGCTGGAGCCAATAATCCATGTTTTTATTTTTTTTTTTTTATGGATAAGAATGCCAGTGTTCAGGCCTGGCAGTCTGGAATGTTTGATGTGTGCTCTGTTCCTGAGAAGCTGATGTGCCACAGCTCTGAGTCAGTCCCTGCAGAGGGATTTAGAGACCTTTCTCTGCACCCATCAGTGACAGAAAACACCCAGGTTTGTCCCCTCCAGCCTGGGAAGGACCTCTGTGCTCAACAACCAGAGGCAGAATTCACATCTCTGTCAATACTTCAATTAATGGTGCAAAATTACCCAAAATCTAAACAATTAATTCTGTGAATTGTTCCCAGCTGAAGTTCATTTCAGGACAAATGTTCAGGAAATTCATCCCATGCCTCATTTTAAAGTTAAGATGATTCATTTTTAATTCAGTGGTACTGCCCGTGGGTGGGTGGGTGGGTTTTTAATGCATTATCACCTCTTAGAAAAGGAGAAAGTTGGACAATTTTCAGTCCTTTGTGGCACATATCTTTAAAATTCATAGAAGAGTTGTAGCTTTAGCAGAAAAATGTGGTTTTGGCTTCAGATAATTGAAACAAGAGGTTTGTTGAGATTGAAGCTACCAGCAGCTCATTGATCCCTTGTGTGAATTCCCCTGAGAACCTGAGCATTGATAGCTCAGGGTGTGGGTGGCTGCTTTCAAATTTTTTTTTAATGTCTCCTTTCAGGCAAGGCTTGGAGAAAAGTGTGAATGTTATATTATGAAATGGAGCATTGTGCTTATTCACTTCTATTTATTCTTGGGTATTTTTGAGTGTCAGAGTTGAAGAGAGTGAAAACCAGAGCTTTTCTTTCCTGTCTGTTCACCTAGAAATTCATTAATGCCTCATACAACTCCTGTATGGATTTTATCTCCTATATTCCCTTATTCCTCACTACCAGAGTGTTTTTACGTTGAATTTCAACTCCTGCCCACAGTTTCTATCTCATTGTGTGATCTTTCAGGCTTTGGAACAACCTAACAAGTTAAACCTCAGCTGTAGGACTCGGATCCAGAAGGAATTTTAAAGAACTTTACATTGCAGGATTTGGATGGAGCTGAACACTTAGGGAGCAATAATTCCTGACAGGAAAAGCAACAACGAGGCCTCTCCATAAAGCAAAATATTTTTCTCTGAGGGACAATGTCAAAACAAGCGTGGAATGGAATGCATTTAATTATCAGGGAAAATGATCCTGTGCTTTCTTGGGCATGTTGCTCTCAACAAGTTCAAACTCTTTGCCTCTAATTTTCCAAGTGTTGGGTGAACTCCAGGCAGTGGGAAGGGAAGGCACTGCAGTCAGCTGCTGGCAGGGACAGCAGCAGGGCAATAAAGGGGAGCCAGGAGTACAAAAATTCCCCCAAATTGGAATCTGCATGTCCAAGGACACCTCAGGTGTCCTGAAAGTGGAATGGAAATCAGAGTCTCATCTGATCCATGCTGAGGTGAACTGTGCTCCCCAGGAAAACAGGAGCTAGGAGGGGAGCAGGGCGTGCTCCAGGTCTGTCTGCCTCACTGCAGGTGAGGAATTCTGGAACTGCAGCAGCACGGGGCTGGCTCAAGGTGAAGAAGGGAAAAAGGTCCTCCAGATTTAATGGAAATCACGGAAGGAAATGTTTGAGAAGCCTCAGGCAGAAAGGGCTGCACTTATCCAGGCTTCCAAGCTCCCTCAAAAACCCTTTTTGTTATCTCAGTTCCACCAAAGGAGCCACGGGCAGCTCTGCAGGCGAGGGCAATGCCTGATCCAGGCTCTGTCCCATTTTTCTCCAGGGCAAAGGTACCCAGATATCTGCCCAGGGGTCAGCCAGGAGCCAGCTCAGCCACGGGCAAAGGCCACCCCTGCCAGAGCTGCTGGGGTGGCTTGGCAGGGACACCCAAAAGCCACCCCTCGTGTCTGTGCCACCACAGAGCACAGAGAAAACCCCAGCCAGAGCCCAAACTTTGGTCACTGT